ATCGCACCACTACACTCCAGCCTGGACAACAGAGCAACACTCCTTCTCAAAAAGAAAAAAAAAAAAGAAAGAAAAAAAGAACTTGCCGGGCGCGGTGGCTCAAGCCTGTAATCCCAGCACTTTGGGAGGCCGAGACGGGCAGATCACAAGGTCAGGAGATCGAGACCATCCTGGCGAACCCGGTGAAACCCCATCTCTACTAAAAAATACAAAAAACTAGCCGGGCGAGGTGGCGGGCGCCTGTAGTCCCAGCTACTCGGGAAGCTGAGGCAGGAGAATGGCGTGAACCTGGGAGGCGGAGCTTGCAGTGAGCTGAGATCCGGCCACTGCACTCCAGCCTGGGTGACAGAGCGAGACCCCATCTCAAAAAAAAAAAAAAAAAAAAAAAAAAAAAAAAAAAAAAAAAAGAACTCAACTGAATTGAGTCCTGAGGATAGAAAAACACTAGGAAGCCTCTTCTTTTTTTTTTTTTTTTTTTTTTTTTTGAGACGGAGTCTCGCTCTGTCGCCCAGGCTGGAGTGCAGTAGCCGGATCTCAGCTCACTGCAAGCTCCGCCTCCCGGGTTTTGACGCCATTCTCCTGCCTCAGCCTCCCGAGTAGCCGGGACTACAGGCGCCCACCACCTCGCCCGGCTAGTTTTTTGTATTTTTTAGTAGAGACGGGGTTTTACCGTGTTAGCCAGGATGGTCTTGAACTCCTGACCTCGTGATCCGCCCGTCTCGGCCTCCCAAAGTGCTGGGATTACAGGCTTGAGCCACCGCGCCCGGCCGGAAGCCTCTTCTATAACACTGATATAAGGCAGATTTTGTTTCAGTTATTCTTGATCTCCAACAGTAAGTTGTGTCCATGGCAGAAGTGGGTATAATCTATCTAGGTTAAACTAATGCCATGTTCTTCAAACTAACTAAAATTGTAATACAGTTTCAAAAGATTATAGCAGAAGAATTGGTCCATGGGCATAGGCCAGGTTCGAGGATACTCTGTGGACTGGCTACTCATGTGGCACCTCCTCAAAGCCAGAGAACATTAGGACCCACTTAGATGAGGAAAAAGGGTTCCTCATTACACTGCCTGAAGTTGCAGAAAAGATGAAAGTTTGTTAGCTTTCTCTTCTATATCCTACTCCCTCCATTTCTCATGGATCTTTCATTTCCAGAATGAGACTGAGTTCCACATCTCTCAATACAGCTAGAAGTTTTCACTTAGGGTTTGTCACCGCAAACCTGTCATCTCTAAACTTGTACTCACGTTTCCAACAAAACTGTCTTCCCCCCCCCAAAACACTTTTTAGGTTTACTAAGTTACTGTAATACATCGTTGGGCTGAGGTGTATTTTATTTTTTTGGGGGGGACGAGTCTCGCTCTCTCACCCAGGCTGGAGTGCAGTGGTGCGATCTCAGCTCACAGCAAGCTCCACCTTCTGGGTTCATGCCATTCTCCTGCCTCAGCCTCCCCAGTAGCTGGGACTACAGGTGCCCGCCACCACGCCCGGCTAATTTTTTGTATTTTTAGTAGAGACGGGGTTTCACCATATCAGCCAGGATGGTCTGGATCTCCTGACCTCGTGATCTGCCTGCCTCCGCCTCCCAAAGTGCAGAGATTACAGGAGGGAGCTACCACACCCAGCTGGGCTGAGGTGTATTTTTTACAGTCATTAAGTGCTGCCCTTTACAACATATTTTACCTATGTCTCTTTAGTGTCACTATCTTAGTTTAGTCCTGACCAGCTAATGCTTACTCTCCACAAACTCAACTTTAAACTTCTCAACCTTCTGAAATAGGGTTATTTTTTTTTTTTTTTTTGAGACAGAGACAAAATCTTGCTCTGTTGCCCAGCCTGGAGAGTAGTGGTCATACAATCTTGACTCACGGCAACCTTGGCCTCCTGAGCTCAAGAGACTCTCCCGCCTCCACCTCCCAAGTAGCTGGCACTACAGGCACAGGCCACCACATCTGGCTAATTTTTATATTATTTGTAGAGATGAGGATTTGCCATGTTGCTCAGGCTGGTCTCAAACTCCTGAGCTCAAGCGATCCACCCACCTTGGCCTCCCAAAGTGCTGGGATTACAGGTGTGAGCTACCATGCCCAGTTTGATGTATATTTTTAATGATCATCTCCTACTTTTCTACACAAACTCTGAACCAGGTAAATGACCTTGCTTATTTATTGTCTTTTCTTTCTAACTTATGCCTTCCCATCCTCTGTCCATCCCATTCTGTACAGTTAAATGCTTTTAATTTCCTTCCTTCCCAAATTTAGCATTCTTCAGTAGTCTGGTCCAATATCTTTTCTCTATAAAGTATTCCATCATCACTCTAGGGTGAAATTACCGCTTTCTATTCCTTAAACGGCTAACCCATTTCCTCTATGACATTAATTTTATATATCAGGCATGTTTTTGGACATCTATTATCTCCACCCATTCAAGCATTTATTGTTTACTGAGTGCTAAGCACTGCCTTAGGCACTAGCAATACAGCAGAAAACATGCAGTGGCATGATCCCAGTCACTGGAGCCTTGACCTCCTAGGCTCAAGAGATTCTCTCTCCTCAGCTTCCTGAGTAGCTAGGATCACAGGTACACACCATAATGCTGGGTTAATATTTGTAATTGTTTTTTTTTTTGCTTGCTTTTAGAAACAGCGTCTCAGAAACAGGGTCTCACTATGTTGCCTAGGCTGGTCTCAAATTCCTGGCCTCACGCGATCCTCCCACTTTGGCTTCCCAAAGTACTGGGATTACAGGCATGAACCACCGTGACTGGCCTCTTATGAAGTTTTAAGAACATCATCGGCTGGACGCGGTGGCTCAAGCCTGTAATCCCAGCACTTTGGGAGGCCGAGACGGGCGGACCATGAGGTCAGGAGATTGAGACCATCCTGGCTAACATGGTGAAACCCCGTCTCTACTAAAAAAAAATACAAAAAACTAGCCGGGCGAGGTGGCGGGCGCCTGTAGTCCCAGCTACTCGGGAAGCTGAGGCAGGAGAATGGCGTGCACCCGGGAGGCGGAGCTTGCAGTGAGCTGAGATCCGGCCACTGCACTCCAGCCTGGGCAACAGAGCGAAACTCTCTCAAAAAAAAAAAAGCCGGGTGCGGTGGCTCAAGCCTGTAATCCCAGCACTTTGGGAGGCTGAGACGGGCGGATCACGAGGTCAGGAGATCGAGACCATCCTGGCTAACACGGTGAAACCCCGTCTCTACTAAAAAATACAAAAAACTAGCCGGGCGAGGTGGCGGGCGCCTGTGGTCCCAGCTACTCCGGAGGCTGAGGCAGGAGAATGGCGTGCACCCGGGAGGCGGAGCTTGCAGTGAGCTGAGATCCGGCCACTGCACTCCAGCCTGGGTGACAGAGCCAGACTCAGTCTCAAAAAAAAAAAGAACATCATCTCTGAAGTCTGGTTTGAGTCCAGTATCTGCTACTTAAATACAATGTACTGGGAAATTATTTAACCCACTGTGTCTGTTTCCAAATCTACCCACAAATGGGAGCATAAGTAAAGGAGAAAGAAACTGAAGGGGTCCACGGAAAGTTCTTTCCTAATGGAGGAGACACTAGGCATATTTGTATACTAATGAGGATAATCTCCTAGAGAGGTATAAGAGAAAATGGAAGGAGTAGAGTCCTTGAGAAGGTGGCAGGAGATGGTAACCAAATCATTGATAGAATGGGCCTTTGAGAAGAAAAGGGACACTTTCTCCATTGCAATCTGAGATAAGAAAAGATGGGCACAAATGTAGATTTGATGCAAAGAGCAGTTAGGTTATTGGCTGAGAATGAGAGTTGAAGAGGAGCATAAAGTTATGATAACAGAAGACAAAGTATGAGATTATGAGATGCCTGTCTAACTCAGTGGGAAAGTACACCTAAATGGAGAAAGTAGACTTGCCAAGAAGTTTTGACCGGTAAAAGTTTGTTATCTTGAATTTTTTCGTTTTTTTTCTTTTTCCTTTTTTTTTTTTTTTGAGGCAGTCTCACTTCTTTGACCAGGCTGGAATGCAATGGTGCGATCTCAGCTCACTGCAACCTCCGCCTCCTAGGTTCAAGCGATTCTCCCGCCTCAGCCTCCCAAGTAGCTGGGATTACAGGCACGTACCAACACGCCCAGCTAATTTTTGTATTTTTAGTAGAGACGGGGTTTCACCATGTTGGTCAGGCTGGTCTTGAACTCCTGACCTCAAGTGATCCGCCCAGCTTGGCCTCCCAAAGTGCTGGGATTACAGACGTGAGCCACCATGCCTGGCCAGTCATCTTGAATTTAAAGTGAAGTCAGTCAGCTTTATTATACGATTTTTCTCCAGCGTAATCTGCTATTTGGGTACAGACACTGAGAAGACAGATGAGTTTCATCTAAGGTTGGCATCTCTTCAAGTGGGTATGTAAACTGAGGCTATTTGCAAGAGAATTACTTTAATGATGAATCATAAAATCTAGACTAATGAAGAAGATAGAGGGCTGGGCACAGTGGCTTACGGCTGTAATCCCAGCACTTTGGGAGGCCGAGGAGGGTGGATCACTTGAGGTCAGGAGTTCAAGAGCAGCCTGGCCAACATGGTGAAACCCCGTCTTTACTAAAAACACAAAAATTAGCCGGGCATGCTGGTGGGCACCTGTAATCCCAGGTACTCAGGAGGCTGATGGAGAATCACTTGAACCGGAAAGGAGGTTGCACTGAGCTGAGATCACACCACTGCACTCAAGCCAGGGCGACAGAGCGAGAATGTCTCAAAAACAGGAAAAAAAAAAAGCAGGTAAAGCCAGGAAAGGCCTGGTAGGAAAGTATGTGAAATCAGTGTACCTGAAAGGAGATCAATGATTTAGAAGTTTCCATGACATGGAAGAATTTTGCAGTAGGAGTCTATTTTCTAACTATTAACAGCTATAAGATTCTTGAGGACAGAGACAGTGCCTTTTACGGCCATCCTAACAGATGCTTGCAACTAGCAGGAATGAAGTAATGTTTGCTTATTTGATTAGCCATAGCCCCAGTAGCTCACCTGGCAGGTGACAGCTAGTGTATGACAGATCTGGGTCTTCCCAGTTCGGAATTCTCCAAACATTTCTGTGATAGATCCAGTCTCAATTCCACCTAAAAGAGCAATAAGAAATACCTCTTAGCATAATACAAACATTTAGAAACTGTAGTCACAGAAATGTTCTTGGAGCTCAAGAGAAGGATATTTACATAAATTAAAAATTCAATTTCCAACAACCGATTTTTCAAAAATGTATTTTGAGGCTAGCCATGGTGGCTCAGGCCTGTAATACCAGCACTTTAGGAAGCTGAGGTGGGCTGATTGCTTGAGTTCAGGAGTTTGAGACCAGCCTGGGCAACATGGTGAAGGCCTGTCTCTACAAAAAATACAAAAATTAGCCGGGCATGGTGGCGGGTGCCTGTAGTGCCAGCTACTCAAGAGCTAAGATAAGAGGATCACTTGAGCCTGGGAGGCAGAAGCTGCAGTGAGCCGAGATCATGCCACTGCACTCCAGCCTAGGCGACACAGTGAGACCCTGTTTCAAAACAAACAAACTAAAAGTATTTTGAAATAATTATAGATTTATAGATAGTTGCAAATAAGGCTAGGTGCGGTGGCTCATGCCTGTAATCCCAGCACTTTGGGAGGCCAAGGCAGGCGAATCACCTGAGGTCACGAGCTTGAGAGCAGCCTGGCCAACATTGTGAAACTTCGTCTCTACTAAAAATACAAAAATCAGCTGGACATGGTGATGGGCACCTGTAATCCCAGCTACTCAGCAGGCTGAAGCACGAGAATCACTTGAACCTGGGAGGCAGAGGTTGCAGTGAGCCGAGATCACACCACTGCACTCCAGCCTGGGTGACAGAGTGAGACTCCTTCTAAAAAAAAAAAAAAAAAAAAGGCTGGGCACAATATGGTGAAACACCATCTCTACTAAAAATACAAAAATTAGCCAGGCATGGTGGCCCATGCCTGTAGTCCCAGCTACTTGGGAGGCTGAGGCAGAAGAATCACTTGAACCCGGGGGGTGGAAGTGGCAGTGAGCCGAGATCACGCTACTGCACTCCAGCCTGGGCAACAGAGCAAGACTCTGTCTCAAAAAAAAAAAAAAAACAGCTGGGTGCAGTGACTCACGCCTGTAATTCCAGCACTTTGGGAGACTGAGGTGGGTAGATCAGGAGGTCAGGAGTCTGAGACCAGCCTGGCCAAGATGGTGAAACCCTGTCTCTACTAAAAATACAAAACTTAGCCAGGCACGGTGGCAGAGGCCTGTCATCCCAGCTACTCATGAGGCTGAGGCAGGAGAATCGCTTGAACCCGGAAGTCAGGGGTTGTAGTGAGCTGAGATCGTGCCACTGCACTCTAGCCTGGGCAACAGAGCAAGACTCTGTCTTTAAAAAAAACAAACAAGGCCGGGCGTAGTGGCTCACGCTTGTAATCCCAGCACTTTGGGAGGCTGAGGCGGGCGGATCATGAGGTCAGGAGATTGAGACCATCCTGGTTAACATGGTGAAACCCCGTCTCTACTAAAAATACAAAAAATTAGCCGGGTGTGGTGGCAGGCACCTGTAGTCCCAGCTACTGGGGAGGCTGAGGCAGGAGAATGGCGTGAACCTGGGAGGCAGAGCTTGTAGTGAGCCTAGATCATGCCACTGCACTCCAGCCTGGGCAACAGTGCAAGACTCTGTCTCAAACAAACAAGCAAAACCATAGGGAGGTTCTATACATCTAGCCTTCTGTAGTGTTAACATCTTGCATAGTGATAGTACAGCACTGCTATTAGAAAACGGACATTGGGGGCTGGGCACAGTGGCACACGCCTGTAATCCCAGCACTTTGGGATGCTGAGGCGGGTAGATCATCTGAGGTCAGGAGTTCAAGACCAACCTAGCCAACATGGTGAAACCTCATCTCTACTAAAAATACAAAAATTAGCTGGGCGTGGTGGCACTCGCCTGTAGTCCCAGCCACTTGGGAGACTGAGGCAGGAGAATCACTTGAACCCAGGAGGTGGAGGCTGCAGTGAGCTGAGATTATGCCACTGCACTCTGGCCTGGGTAACAGAGCAAGACTCTGTCTCAAAAAAAAGGAAAGAAAACCAACATTGGGCCAGGAGAGGTGGCTCAAGCCTATAATCCCAGCAGTTTTGGAGGCTGAGGCAGAAGAATGGCTTGAGCTCAGGATTTCGAGACCAGCTGGACAACATAGTGAGGCCCTGTCTCAAAAAAAAAAAAAAAAAAAAAATTAGCCAGGAAGTAAATGATTGTAGTCCTAGCTCTGGGGAGACTGAGGCTAGAAGATCACTTGAGCCCAGGAAGCAGAGGTTGGTAAGCCCAGGAAGCTTACTTCCTTAAGCAAAAGGAGCTTACTCTCTCAATGCAATATTAAATGGAGACTAAATTCTTTAATTTGCAGGTAAGTTTAGTATTTTATAAATAAGGGCCTACCTTGCAGCAGTCTTACCTCTTCAATGTAGATACTTTCTTTATCTCTCTTTTTTTTTGAGACAGAGTTTTGCTCGTCACCCAGGCTAGAGTGCAGTGGCGCAATCTTGGCTCACAGCAACCTCCATCTTCCGGGTTCAAGCAATTCTCCTGCCTCAGCCTCCCGAGTAGCTGGGATCACAGGCATGTGCCACCACGCCCAGCTAATTTTGTACTTTTAATAGGTTTCTCCATCTTGGCTGGGCTGGTCTCAAATTCCTAACCTCAGGTGATCTGCCCACCTTGGCCTCCTAAAGTGCTGAGATTACAGGCATGAGCCACTGCACCTGGCCTTCTTTTATCTCTTTATCATTATCTAACAAGTAAATGCTACCCAAACATTTCAGTTTTGTTCCATAACCTGGAAGCTTTCCTAACTAGAGTTCACAACACAGAATAAGGGATTACTACACCTTGAAGTAGTTTGTCAAGCTCTTTGGAGCCAGTAGTAATCTGTATGATCTCTGACCGCCTTTGGTGGAATTCAGTTGCAGTGGTGAAACCCATTGGAACTAATTTAGCTGCCTCAGCCTGGGAAAAATAAGAAATGTTAAATCAACAAAATAATATTCCTTACCACAGTGATCTTGAGGGCAAAAAATATATATATAAAGAAAAAAGAAATATTAGTAAAACAAGAATCCGGTGTGCAATGAAACGAGAAACTAATAAAATTACCAGGATGATTTCTCTTTAGAAAGTCATAAAAAAGATAATCTCATTCAGAGACTCCATGAAGATCAATTTGTTAATCACCAATTCAAGTTAATATGTTAATACAGTTTTAAAAACTATTATAGATCCATACATATGTGTTTTGCCCAATTTATGACAAAAATGACAATACAGTACACCTTCATTTCCTGCTCCATCAACCGCAGACTGTATCCCTTAACTTCCTACTTTGTAAAAATGAGGACATTTGCCCTTCCATCTTTTCTCTCTCCATGGCTACTTCCCCACCTCTATCAGCCGTACCTTTTCTTTCATATTGTCTGGCTGAGAACATTCACATTCTATTTTGTAATTACAGATAAGTATTCTATAATAGCACTATGGGTTGATTCTAAAATTGAAAAGTAAATGCATTCACAAATATGCAAAAATAAAGCAACACACTCCTAAATAACCAACAAGTCAAAGAAGAAATGACAAGGGAAATGAGAAAATATTTTTTGCAATGAATGAAAATGAAGATAAACCAAAACTTACGGGCTCCAACAAAAGCAGTGCTCAGAGAGAAATTCATAGCTATAAATACCTATATTAGAAAAGAAGGCTGGGTGCGGTGGCTCATGCCTGTAATCCCAGCACTTTGGGAGGCTGAGGTGGGAGGACTGCTGGAAGCCAGGAGTTTGAGACCAGCCTGAGCAACAAAGTGGGACCCTGGCTCTAAAAAATGTTTTAAAATTAGCAGGGCATGGCTGGGCACGGTGGCTCACACCTGTAATCCCAGCACTTTGGGAGGGTGAGGTGCGCAGATCACAAAGTCAGGAGTTCAAGACCAGCCTGCCCAATATGGTGAAACCCCATCTCTACTAAAAATACAAAAATTAGCTGGGCATGGTGGCATGCACCTGTAGTCCCAACTACTCAGGAGGCTGAAACAGGAGAATTGCTTGAATCCAGGTGGTGGAGACTGCAGTGAGCTGAGATCGCACCACTGAACCCCAGCCTGGGCAACAGAGCAAGACTCTGTCAGAAAAAAAAAAAAAAAAAAAAAAAGGCCTGGCGTGGTGGCTCATGTCTATAATCCCAGCACTTTGGGAGGCCAAGGCAGGCAGATCACGAGGTCAGGAGACCGAGACCATCCTGGATAACATGGTGAAACCCCATCTCTACTAAAAATACAAAAAATTAGCCAGGCATCATGGCATGCGCCTGTAATCCCAGCCACTCGGGAGGCTGAGGCAGAAGAATCACTTGAATCCAAGAGGCGGAGGTTGCAGTCAGCAGAGATCGCACCACTGCACTCCAGCCTGGGCACAGAGGGAGACTCTGTCTCAAAAAAAAAAAACAAACAAACAAAAAAACCAACAAATTAGCAGGCCATTGTGGAGCGTGCCTGTGGTCCTAGTTACCTGGGAGGCTGAGGCAGAAGGTTTGTTTGAACCAGGAGTTGGAGGCTGCAGTGAGCTATAATCGCACCACTGCACTGCAACAAAGTAACAGAACAAGACTCTGTCTCTAAAAATGAAACAGATAAATCCTAACCTAACCTTCCAAAGAACAGCAAACAAAACAAAGCAAGCAGAAGGATGGAAATAAAACAAGTTGGGTCGAAACTATTAGGTAAAGGACAGAATAATAGAGAAAAATCAATGAAACCAAAAGCTGGTTCTTTGAAAACATCAACGAAATTGACAAACTTTTAGCTGCACTGACCAAAAAAAGAGAGAAAAGACTCAAATTACTAAAATCAAGAATGAAAGAGGGAACATTACTACTGACTTTATGGAAATAAAAAGTAGTATAAGGAAACCCTTTGAGCAACTCTATGTCAACAAGTTAGATAACTTAGATGAAATAAGCAAATTCCTAGAAAGATAAACTACAAAAACTCACTCAAGAAGAAAATCTAGGCCGGGCGCGGTGGCTCACGCCTGTAATCCCAGCACTTTGGGAGGCCGAGTCGGGCGGATCACGAGGTCAGGAGATCAAGACCATACTGGCTAACATGGTGAAACCCCATCTCTACTAAAAATACAAAAAATTAGCCAGGCATGGTGTTAGGCCCCTGTAGTCCCAGCTACTCGGGAGGCTGAGGCAGGAGAATGGCGTGAACCTGGGAGGCGGAGCTTATAGTGAGCTGAGATCGCGCCACTGCACTCCAGCCTGGGTGACAGAGCAAGACTCCGTCTCAAAAAAAAAAAAACCAAAAAAAAAAAGAGGCCGGGCGCGGTGGCTCAAGCCTGTAATCCCAGCACTTTGGGAGGCCAAGACGGGCCGATCACGAAGTTAGGAGATCGAGACTATCCTGGCTAACTCGGTGAAACCCCGACTCTATTAAAAAATACAAAAACCTAGCCGGGCGAGGTGGCGGGCACCTGTAGTCCCAGCTACTTGGGAGGCTGAGGCGGGAGAATGGCGTAAACCCGGGAGGCGGAGCTTGCAGTGAGCTGAGATGGGGCCACTGCACTCCAGCCTGGGAGACAAAGCGAGACTCTGTCTCAACAACAACAACAAAAAAAAAAAAAAAAAGAAAAGAAAATCTAAATAGACCCATGGAAAGTACAAAGATTAAACTTTTATAATTTTAAAATTTCCCATGAAGGAAAAAAAAAATAAACAAATAGTTGAAAAAGTCAATGAAAGTTTATTTTCTAAACTTTTCTATATATTTAATATTTCATTTAAAAATTTATTGCAGGGCCAGGTGCATTGGCTCACGCCTGTAATCCCAGCACTTTGGGAGACTGAGGCGGGCGGATTACCCGAGGCCAGGATTTTGAGACCAGCCTGACCAATTCATATACTCACTGTCAATTCCGTGCAACAAACATATACTAGACACTTACTCTGTATGAAACATAATCCCAGGGACTCTGAAGGATATGGAGAAAAAGAAGAGCAGATTCTTGCCTCCACAGAACTTATAATTTAATCAGGAAGATACACTATACAAAATAACTATAGTACAAGTAGATGTGATGGGTAATATAAGAAGTACTAACAAAAGAGCCATGGGAGCTCAAGGAATATAGACTACTTCCTTTGGTGAAAAACAGAAAGAGAAGGTATTAGCAAAGACGAAACTGGTAGAAATGGCCAGGTTAGTGGCATGTGCCTGTAGTCCCAGCTACTCAGGAGGCTGAGGAGAATTCCTTGAGCCCAAGAGTTTGAAGCTGCAGTGAGCTATGATCATGCCATTGCACTCCAGCCTGGGCAACAGAGTGAGAGTCTGTCTCTCTCTCTCTTTTTTTTTTTTTAAAAAGGTGGGCATAGTGGCTCGTGCCTGTAATTTCAGCACTTTGGGAGGCTGAGGCAGGTGGACTGCTTGAGGCCAGGAGTTTGAGACCAGCCTGGGCAACATGGTGAAACCCCGTTTCAACTGAAAATACAAAAAGTAACCAAGTGTGGTGGTGGGCGCCTGTAATCCCAGCTACTCGGGAGGTTGAGGCAGGAGAATCACTTGAACCTGGGAGGCAAAGGTTGCAGTGAGCCAAGCCAAGATTGCACCACTGTGCTCCAGCCTGGGTGACACAGCGAGACTCTGCCTCAGAAAAAAAAAAAAAAAAGGAAAACAAACAATACAATCATAATCTTTACTGGCCAGAAACTAAGAACATAAAATATTGAAAAGTTAAGACACATATGTCTATACCATTTTGCATTTCAAATCATGATATTCTAGGTTTGCATTTTTGTGTTCATAGAAGCAGAGAAGTGATTCGATTTCTGAAACCAAGATCTCACAAGGCAAAAAGTAAAGATCCTGTCAGCATTTGTTCATTCACAAAAACTGATGCCCAAAAAGTGAAAACAGAAAGACTTTAGGGACCCCTACTGGCTTAGTCAATATGACAATCTTTTAACAAAAGTACTGTTAAGGACTCAGAACTCTTTCTTATTTCCAATTAAGCAACCACTTCAACAAATATTCATTTATTTGAGTAATCCAATAAATTTATCTAACGCTAACAGTAATCGATACGTGAAAATACAATTTTATAAATATTTGCAGATCGGGCGCGGTGGCTCAAGCCTGTAATCCCAGCACTTTGGGAGGCCGAGACGGGCGGATCACGAGGTCAGGAGATCGAGACCATCCTGGCTAACACGGTGAAACCCCATCTCTACTAAAAAATACAAAAAACTAGCCGGGCGCGGTGGCGGGCGCCTGTAGTCCCAACTACTCGGGAGGCTGAGGCAGAAGAATGGCGTGAACCCGGGAGGCGGAGCTTGCAGTGAGCTGAGATCCGGCCACTGCACTCCAGCCTGGGCGGCAGAGCGAGACTCCGTCTCAAAAAAAAAAAAATAAAAATAAATAAATAAATAAATAAATATTTGCAGCGGGGCATGGTGGCTCACACCTGTTATCTCAGCACTTTAGGAGGCTGAGGTAGGCAGATCACAAGGTCAGGAGATCAAGACCATCCTGGCCAACATGGTGAAACCCTGTCTCTACCAAAAATACAAAAATAAGCTGGGCGTGGTGGCAGGTACCTGTAGTCCCAGCTAATGGGGAGGCTGAGGCAGGAGAATTGCTTGAACCTGGGAGGCGGAAGTTGCAGTGAGCCGAGATTGCACCACTGTACTCCAGCCTGGCAATAGAGCAAGACTCTGTCTCAAAAAAAAAAAAAAAAAAAAAAAAAATCTGCTCTATACTATATAAAACTGCAAGGATAAAGGCAGTAAAACTGTGTAACTATATAAATACTGAAGGAATAGGTTCATAAAACAAAATGTAACCATGGCGAAATATGGATGTTAAAGAACTATATGAAGCTAGAAAAATAAAGAGGCCAGGCACAGTAGCTCACACCTGTAATCCCAGCACTTTGGGAGGCTGAGGTAGGTGAATCACCTGAGCTCAGGAGTTCGAGACTACCCCAGCATGGTGGCATGTGCCTGTAGTCCCAGCTACTTGGGAGACTGAGGTGGAAGAATCGCTTGAGCTTAGGAGGCGAAGGCTGCAGTGAGCTGAGATGGCACCACTGCACTCCAGCCTGTGTGACAGAGCAAGAACCTGTCTCCAAAAAAAAAAAAAAGAAACAGGTAACAGTCACCCCTGGAAAGGAGAACGAGATGACAGAAGAATGAGAGATGGAAGGAAGAAGTCTTTCACTACATTACCTTTTGTACTAGTCCCACTAATGCCTCCTTAGGTCAATTAAGCAGTACTTACCAGAATTTTATCAGCTTTGGCTTCACTAATTCCCTTAATATTTATTAGCTCCTTCTTTGGTGCATAGGCAACAGCCTCCACAGTATGGAATCCAGCTTCTTCCAATTTCTTCACATCGTTGGCATTTATGCCACACTGCTGCAAATGAAGAAAACCATGGATAAATTTAAACTTTAGTTATTTAATCTAACACAGATGATATGTGTCCTACATACGCCACAGAGGTGCTTGAAGACTTGTAATACAACTGTCCCTTGAAATCCTGGGGTGGGGAGATGGGAAGTTGGTTCCAGGATCCCCAGCAGATAACAAAATCCAAGAATGCTCAAGTCCCTTATATAAAATGGCATATTACCTGCATATAACCTCTATACATCCTCCTGTATACTTTTTTTTTTTATATGTAGTTGATTGAATTTTTGATATGCAGTTTGTTGAATTTGCTGATGCAGAATCCAGGGATATAGAGAGCCTACTGGATTATATGCAAAAGCTGAAAAATGAGCCCTATATATGAGGTACTTAATAACAAATTAACAACCTTTTCATTATCAAAATCAATAATTTTAAACTAGCACTATGCCATGTATATTAAAAAGAACTCTTATAAGCAAATGGAATTAAAAAGTAACTCCCAACTTTTTTTGTGTGACCCTAAATGATCTCCGAGACTTTGGGCCCTACAAGATCAGTTTAAGACCGTGTTGCTCAGCACTTTCCATATCAAGCACATAAAAAATGATATTTTTACACTATGGTAGGGTAAACAGATAAGGCTGCTCAGAATGAAAAGAGCGCTATCTTGGCCTATCAATACCTTTTTGTTGAACAATGACCAGAAAGCTCTGCTCTAACAACTGACATTAACAGTGAGGAAAACTACTTTTTGTCAGGGACTTTTATATCTCTTCTTAAACCACCCAAATCCACCTCTTTCTTCCTATATTCAAGTCAGTTTTGGTTTCATTAGCCACCAAAACCATGACTTCTGGGAAAACATGAGTTAGTAGGTGAATGTGAGTGTATTCAGGGGTTGGGAGAATTTAGAAGAGGGGAAAGATTAGTTTGCCAACATAAGCCATGTCTGCTGTTAATATTTAAGCAATAAGCAATATGCATGTATGAGTATAAGGATGCTCATGGCACCAGAAGTTATGATTCTGAACTTTAAAATGTTTATCACAAATCCATTTAAGTAACTTCTAGAGTCTTTTTTAAATAAGCTTTTTGCACTCCTAGAGTCTTGAAGATTAGTCGGAGATGGGAAATTTGAAAAAAGAGACAGAAGAATCAAGTCTTTCTCTGCTTTCCCCCTACTTATCTCAGCCCCAATCAGCTGCACTCACACGGCAGTCTCTATACAATGGGCAGAAATAGTGTGAGGCCTCAGCTCCGGTGCTTAATGTTCTTGTGCAGAATCCTGAATTGGAGCTTATCTCTTATACCGTAACACCACCACAGCCTTCTCTCTGCCAATGACAGCTGACAGCACAAAGCTAAGTCAATAAAGAGAAGTTGGCTGCCGGGCGCGGTGGCTCAAGCCTGTAATCCCAGCACTTTGGGAGGCCGAGACGGGCGGATCACGAGGTCAGGAGATCGAGACCATCCTGGCTAACACGGTGAAACCCCGTCTCTACTAAAAAAAATACAAAAAACTAGCCGGGCGAGGTGGTGGGCGCCTGTAGTCCCAGCTACTCGGGAGGCTGAGGCAGGAGAATGGTCTAAACCCGGGAGGCGGAGCTTGCAGTGAGCTGAGATCCGGCCACTGCACCCCAGCCTGGGCGACAGAGCAAGACTCTGTCTCAAAAAAAAAAAAAAAAAAAAAAGAGAAGTTGCTACCCTGTCTTCCTTGCATAACTGGTCCAGGCCACTATAATTCCCAGAACGGCACTTTCATACTTAGTGCAAACAGCACAGGATGCTTTGGCTGGGCGTGGTGGCTCATGACTGTAATCCTAGCAGTTTGGGACGCTGAGGCAGGTGGATTGCTTGAGACCAGGAGTTCAAGACCAACCTGGTCAACACAGTAAGACCCATTTCTTAAAAACAAAACAAAAAACAGCACAGGCCGGGCATCGTGGCTCATGCCTGTAATCCCAGCACTTTGGGAGTCCAAGGCGGGCGGATCACCTGAGGTCGGGAGTTCGAGACTAGCCTGACCAACATAGAGAAACCCTGTCTCTACTAAAAAATACAAAAAAACTAGCCAGGTAAGGTGGCGGGCGCCTGTAGTCCCAGCTACTCGGGAGGCTGAGGCAGGAGAATGGCGTAAACCCGGGAGGCGGAGCTTGCAGTGAGCGGAGATCCAGCCATTGCACTCCAGCCTGGGCGACAGAGCGAGACTCCATCTCCCAAAAAAAAAACAAAAACAAAAACATATACAGATATAAAATTAGCTGGGCGTGGTAGCGCATGCCTGTAATTCCAGCTACTTGGGAGGCTGAGGCAGGAGAATCGCTTGAACCTGGGAGGCAGAGGTTGTAGTGAGCCGAGATTGCGCCTCTGTACTCCAGCTTAGGCAACAAGAGCGAAACCCCATCTCAAAACAAACAAAAAAAAGCACAGCACAGACATTCCACCATGGGATCCTAGGCCTCAGTTTCTGACAGTCCAGCTCTCAGAAATAAAAATGATAAAGTAAGAAGAGAATGGTTGACAAAGGAAGACGCCCTGCCAGACATATTTAGCAACAATCTGCAGCCTTTCCACAGGATTATTGACAACACTTCTGAAAAGTCTTGGGTCTTGACCTTGGTAGTAAACCTACAGTTTATGTAAAGGTTATAATACCTTCCACTAGGTAGAAGAATCTAGTATATATTTTCAAAATTAGCAACTAAGCACATACCTCTAACCGTGAAATGGGTTGTGGGCCAAAGCTTTCTTCTTCCACTGAAGTATCTGCATTTGCTTCAAGCTGCATCTGCATTGCCATTACTGAAAAATACAAATGCCTATCAGTATAAACACTAGAGAAATAAGGTGCATCTCTCTCCCTATCTTCTATCTAGCTAGTTGTATCAAAAAGACTTTAGGAAGAGCCAAGGCCATTCTCTTATTGTGTCTCTCTGTTCTCCTGCTTTATATTCCTTCAGAGTAGGGGCCAAGTTTTACTTATTTTTATATACCCCATTATACGTTATGAATGTGTTTGCAAACAAATACTGTGTGATCTCACTCATATGTAGATTCTAAAAAAGTTGATCTTGGCAGGGTGCAGAGGCTCATGCCTGTAATCCCAGCTCTTTAGGAGGCCTAGGTGGGTAGATCACGAGGTCAGGAGATTGAGACCATCCCGGCCAACATGTGAAACCCTGTCTCTACTAAAACTGCAAATATTAGCAGGGTGTGGTGGCACACGCCTGTAATCCCAGCTACTCAGGAGGCTGCGGCAGGAGAATGGCTTGAACCTGGAAGGCAGAAGACTGCAGTGAGCTGAGATCACACCACTGTACTCCAGCCTCATGACAGAGCGAGACTGCGTCTCAAAAAAAAAAAAGTTCATCTCATACAAGGAACAAATGGAAGAGTGGTAACCAGAGACTGAGGAGAATGCAGCCGTTGCAGGGGGCAGGAAGGAGAGAGGTTGATCAACAGGCACAAAGTTTCAGTTAGATAGGAGGAATAAGTTCTAGGGTTCTATTTCATAGTAGGGTGACTACAGTAAACACTAATGTAATGAGTACTTCAAAATAGCCAGAAGAGAGTATTTTGAATGTTCTCACCACAAAGAGAAATGACAAGTGTTTGAACTGAATTGATGGATATGCTGATTACCCTGATTTGATCATTCATTATTCAATATATATGTACTGAAATATCAACTTGTTCTCATAAATATATACAATCATCTGTCAAAAACAAAGTAAAACTTATTATTTTCACAACCTTGGGATATAAAAAGATTTCTTGAAACGATACATAACGCACTAGCCAAAAAGGAAAAGACTGAAAGCTGAACTACATTTAAATTCAGCACTTCGGCCAGGCACTGTGGCTCAGGCCTGTAATCCCAGCACTTTGGGAGGCTGAGACGGGCAGATCACCTGAGTTCAGGAGTTCGAGACCAGCCTGACCAACATGGAGAAACCCTGTCTCTACTAAAGAAAAATACAAAATTAGCCAGGCGTGGTAGCACATGCCTGTAATCCCAGCTACTCAGGAGGCTGAGGCAGGAGAATCGCTTGAACCCGGGAGGTGGAGGTTGCGGTCAGCCAAGATCGCGCCATTGCACTCCAGCTTGGGCAACAAGAGTGACTCTCTGTCTCAAAAGGAAATATAAATAAATAAAATAAAAAATAAAAAAATAAATTCAGCACTTCTATTCATCAAAGGACACCACTAAGAGAATGACAAGTCAAACCACAGTAGAGGTGAAAACATTTAGCACAAACATAACTGAGGGCTGATAACCAGAATATAAAGAACTTTGGCCCGGCGCGGTGGCTCAAGCCTGTAATCCCAGCACTTAGGGAGGCCAAGACGGGCGGATCACGAGGTCAGGAGATCGAGACCATCCTGGCTAACACGGTGAAACCCTGTCTCTACTAAAAAATACAAAAAACTAGCTGGGCATGGTGGCGGGCGCCTGTAGTCCCAGCTACTGGGGAGGCTGAGGCAGGAGAATGGCGCGAACCCGGGAGGCGGAGCTTGCAGTGAGCTGAGATCCGGCCGCTGCACTCCAGTCTGGGCGACAAAGCGAGACTCTGTCTCAACAAAAAAAAAAAAAAAAAAAAAAAAAAAAAGAACTTCACATCAGTAAGAAAAAGTAGAAAAATAGACAAGAGATTTGAACAAGTACATCACAGAAGATATCCAAATGGGAAAAACATATGAACAAATACCCAACCTCATTAGTAATCAGGAAAATTAAAATCACATTGAGACATTACTGTGTAACCAGCAGAATAGTAAAAAAAAAAAAATTTTTTTTTTTTTTTTTTTGAGACGGAGTCTTGCTCTGTCGCCCAGGCTGGAGTGCAGTGGCGCCATCTCGGCTCACTGCAAGCTCCGCCTCCCGACTCATTGCATCTCGGTTCACTGCAATTCTCCTGCCTCAGCCTCCCCAGTAGCTGGGACTACGGGCACCCGCCACCACGCCCGGCTAATTTTTTTTGTATTTTTAGTAGAGACCGGGTTTCACCATGTTAGCCAGGATGGTCTCTATCTCCTGACCTTGTGATCCGCACGTCTCAGCCTCCCAAAGTGCTGGGATTACAGGCGTGAGTCACCGCGCCCGGCCAGAATAGTTAAAATATAAAAGGCTGAAAATCGTGTTGTCAAGCATGTAAAACAACGAAACACTGAACACTCCTGATGTATTTTTATATAAAATTCAAAAACGAGCAACATTAGTTAATCGCATTAGAAACCAGTATACCAGTTACCACTGTAAAAAGGGGAAAATATTAAATACTACATAAGGAAGGCTTCTGGGGACCATTCTATTAAGTGGTGATTACGTAGGTGTACATTCATTTTGTCTTGCTCTATCGCCCAGGTTGGAGTGCAGTGGCCTGATCACGGCTCACTGCAGCTTATACTTCCCAGGCTAGATCCTCCCTTCTCAGCCTCCTGAATAGCTGGGCCTACAGGTGCACGCCACCAAGCCTGGCTAATTTTTTCTATCTGTAGAGATACTGGTCTCACTATCTTGACCAGACTGTTCTCGAACTCTTGGGCTCAATTGTCCTCCCGCCTCCACCTCCTAAAGTGCTGGGACTACAGACTTGAGACACTACACCCGGCCAGTATATTTTGTAATAATTCACGGAGTTGTATACAGTTGTGAATGTGCATTTTTCTACATGTATATTACATATCACTTTAGAAGTTTAAAAAAAAAAAAAAAACAGGGGCCAGGCGCGGTGGCTCACGCCTGTAATCCCAGCACTTTGGGAGGTGGAGGCGGGTGGATAACCTGACGTCAGGAGTTCGACACCAGCCTGACCAGCATAGTGAAACCCTGTCTCTACTAAAAATACAAAAATCAGCCAGTCGTGGTGGCGGGAGCCTGTAATCCCAGCTCCTTGGGAGGCTGAGGTAGGAGAATCGCTTGAACCCGGGAGGCGGAGGTTGCAGTGAGCCGAGATCGCGCCACTACACTCCAGCCTGGGCTAAAGAGCGAGACTTCATCTCAAAAAAAAAAAAAAAAAGTTTTAAGAAAACCAAGCCTCACTTCAGATCATTCTCTAGGCATCATGCGAATGGTTTTCCGCATTAGATGACGAAAATACTGTTTTGGCAATTGCAGGTTGGTACTTTCTAAGCACGGTGTAACGGAAAGACAGACCAAGAATCCGGAAGCCCTGGCTGTGATATTAAACAGCTGTGGCTACACCGCTCTGATCTCAGACTCCTCGCTCAAACTCATAAAACGGGTGTTGGCTATGAAGGCTCTAATGTTTCTCCCCTAGTTCTAAAGACTGGGGTCCACCTGTGTTTTCGCCCCAGCAACTGAGGGTCGGTCGGACGCGGACACGCCCTGCCACGTCCGGGTTTCACACTGTGCGCGGAGACCCCACCTGCCCCTGAGCATTGGACCGGCCAGGACCCAGGTGGGCGACGACGAGCAGCAGCTATAGAGGGCACGGCCTGCGCCTCACACACTCACCTTGGCCCTCAGCGCTGCTCTTTCCAACGGGCCGCGCGCTCCGACTTCACCCTGCGGGGGTGACACGCGCCTGACCCGCGCGGACCCCAACGCCCCTGGCTTACGCCCCACTTCAAGTCTACTCGCTTGCCCCAGCCTTCTGCGCACAACCCAGACGAGTTTCAGCTCCCAGCTGCACGCCTCGGGAAGCGCCGCGCTCTCCTTAAGGGTCGGTCTCTGGTCGCTGGGCGCGCTCCGACGGCGGCTTTCAGAATTCGCGCCAAACCCTCTCGCCCAGGGTCACGCACGCGTCGGCGTAACGTATCTCTGCCTTCCGGATCCGCCTTCTTGCCCCTTCCACCCTCCGCGCTAGCCCAAGACTGGAACTCGAGAGCTTGATCCTGCGCGAGGTTACGGACTGCCCTCTTCCCTTTTTGCGTAAGGACTAATTCAGACTTTATGCCGGGCGCGGTGGCTCACGCGCGTAGTCCCAGCTAACTCGGGAGGCCGAGGCGAGAGGATCGTCTGAGCCTGGGAGTTCTAGGCCAACCACGGCAACGCCCCTACTCTTACCCTAGTCCCTCGCGGGTGGGGCGAGGGTTTTCGGGGGACGGTGGGGGAAGACATCAGAGTTGCTGTGGTCTGTTTACCAGATCTAAGACTACAACTCCCAAGAGGTAATGCGTCGGCCCGGGACTGTATCTCCCGGCATGCACCGCCGGCGGGCCTGCGAGTTCCTACCGTCATCCCAGCTGGACTATTACCTGGAGCCGGACTATTACCTGGAGCCTTAGCACTCTTGTGGTTTGTTTCAGCAGTATCTGAACGTCAGCTTTTGGCGCTGGTAGCTCTGAGCCTCCGACTCACATTCCTGGAACCAGGTGCTTTCCAGGCCTCATGGAGGTGGAGGAGCTGAGGAAGCTCGAGAAGATGGATAGAAGTGAGAAATGGAGCTATCGGAGGGGAGAGGGAAATGGCTGGAATATTCGTCAATCTGTGGTGCTTTACTGGAGATTTGCAGGACTTCAGAGGAAGGGGGCATTGAATTTCATAACCTAAACCGTCTCGTGGTTTACCAGAAAGTTTTGACCCGTGATTCCGGTTTTAAAGGCTGAGTAGGGCCGAGAATCGCTTGAACCCGGGAGGAAGAGGTTGCAACGAACCGAGATCTCGCCACTGTACTCCAGCGTGGGCGACAGAACGAGAGTGTCTCAAAACAACACAAGCTAGCTGAGTAGGATTTCTTGGGCGAAGTGGAAGACACTATAAGCAGATAGGGTAGTATGGGCATGGAAACAAACTACATGATTAAAGATTAGTATTATCTAGCGAGGGAGGAAAAGTGCCAGAACAAGTGCCGAAACTGGAAAGTTACATTTAGTTCAGGATATGAAGAGGCTTAAGATCATATAAGGCCTGCACAGTGGCTCACGCCTGTGATCCCAGCACTTTGGGAAGCCAAGGCAGGAGAGGATCGCTTGAGCTCAGGAGTTGGAGGCCAGCCTGGGCAACATAGTGGGACCCCATATCTCCAAAAAGAATAAGCTGGGCATGGTGGCTTGTGCCTGTGGTCTCAGCTATCCCGGAAGCTGAGGTGGGAGGATTGCTTGAGCTCAGGACGTCAAGGCTGCAGTGAGCTATGATGGGACACTGCACTCCAACCTGGGCTACAGAGTGAGATCTTGTCCCAAAAAGCAAGCAACAACAACAACAAAACATGTAAGAAGAGGCCAGGCGTGGTGGCTCAAGCCTGTAATCTCAGCACTTTGGGAAGCCAAGGTGGGTGGATCACGTGGTCAGTTCAAGACCAGCCTGGCCAAGATGGCAAAACCCCATCTCTACTAAAACTACAAAAAGTAGCTGGGCGTGGTGACGCATGCAAGTAATCCCAGCTACTTGGGAGGCTGAGGCACAGAGTTGCTTGAACCTGGGAGGTGGAGGTTGCAGTGAGCCGAGATCACCCCACTGCACTCCAGCCTGGGCAACAGAGCAAGACTCCGTCTCAAAAAATACATATATAAGGAGCTTTGTTCTCTAGGTACTGAATAAATCACTGAAAGTTTTTAAGAAGACAAGTTATTTGGTTAGATCTATTTCCCCTCCACTATTACTAATTTGTTATTATTATTATTATTATTATTTTTAGATGGAGTCTCACTCTGTTACCCAGGCTGGAGTGCAGGGATGCGATCTCAGCTCACTGCAACCCCCACCTCCCAGATGCAAGCGAGTCTCCATGCCTCAGCCTCCCAAGTAACTGGGATTTTAGGCACTCGCCACCACACCCAGCTAATTTTTTGTATTTTTAGTAGAGACAGGGTTTCACCATGTTGGCCAGGCTGGTCTCAAACTCCTGACCTCAGGTGATCCACCTGCCTTGGCCTCCCAAAGTGCTGGAATTACAGGTGTGATCCATCATGCCTGGCTTTTTTTTTTTTTTTTTTTTTTTTTTTTTTTTGAGACGGAGTCTCACTCTGTCACCCAGGCTGGAGTGCAGTGGCCGGATCTCAGCTCACTGCAAGCTCCGCCTCCCAGGTTCACGCCATTCTCCTGCCTCAGCCTCCCGAGTAGCTGGGACTACAGGCGCCTGCCACCTCGCCCGGCTAAGTTTTTGTATTTTTAGTAGAGACGGGGTTTCACTGTGTTAGCCAGGATGGTCTCGATCTCCTGACCTCGTGATCTGCCCGTCTCGGCCTCCCAAAGTGCTGGGATTACAGGCTTGAGCCACCGCGCCCAGCCGCCTGGCTTTTTTTTTATTTTTGAGATAGCGTCTCGCTCTGTTCAAGTTGGCCTTGAACTCCTGGCCTCAAGTGATCCTCCCACCTTGACCTCCCAAAGTGTTGGAATTACAGGTGTGAGCCATTGCAACGGCCTTATTACTACTTTATATATGTGGAGTGCTTTAAAGTTGACAAAGTTTTTATTTAATCCTCACACTATTACCCTGTGGCATTGAAGAATAGATTTCAGGAGAGTGAAAGTGAAGACAGCAAAAAGGAAGTTCTTGCAATATTTCAGGCAAGAGATGAAGATTTAAATTAGATTCCAATTCTACCTTTTTGGCACCAGGGACCTGTTTTATCAAAGACAGTTTTCTACAGGGCTCGGGGGGTGGGCCTGAGGCAGAGAATGGTTTTGGAATGAAACTGTTGTACCTCAAGATCATCAGTTAGATTCCCATAAGGAGTGTGCAATCTAGATTCCTCACAGCTGCAGTTCAAAATAGGGTTTGTGGCCAGGTGCGGTGGCTCAAGCCTGTAATCCCAGCACTTTGGGAGGCCGAGACGGGCGGATCACGAGGTCAGGAGATGGAGACCATCCTGGCTAACCCCGTGAAACCCCGTCTCTACTAAAAAATACAAAATAGGCCGGGCGCGGTGGCTCAAGCCTGTAATCCCAGCACTTTGGGAGGCCGAGACGGGCGGATCATGAGGTCAGGAGATCGAGACCATCCTGGCTAACACGGTGAAACCCCGTATCTACTAAAAAATACAAAAAAACCAGCCGGGCGAGGTGGCGGGTGCCTGTAGTCCCAGCTACTCGGGAGGCTGAGGCAGGACAATGGTGTGAACCCAGGAGGCGGAGCTTGCAGTGAGCTGAGATCGCGCCACTGCACTCCAGCCTGGGCGGCAGAGCGAGACTCCGTCTCAAAAAAAAAAAAAAAAAAAAAAATAGCCAGGTGAGGTGGCGGGCGCCTGTAGTCCCAGCTACTCGGGAGGCTGAGGCAGGAGAATGGTGTAAACCCGCAAGGCGGAGCTTGCAGTGAGCTGAGATCCGGCCACTGCACTCCAGCCTGGGCGACAGAGCGAGACTCCGTCTCAAAAAAAAAAACAAACAAACAAAAGAATAGGGTTTGAGTTCCTGTGAGAATCTAATGCTCTTCCTGATCTGATAGGAGGCAGAGCTCAGGCAGTAATGCTTGCTTGCCAGCTGCTCACCTCCTGCTGTTCAGCCCAGTTCCTAACAGGCCACAGGTCTACGATGGGGCATTGGGGTCCTCTGAATTAGAGGAATGACAGAGAGAACAGACTCAGGCAGCTTTCTGGATGTAGAAACAACCTAACTTAGTGATTATAGATAGTACCTGTGATAATAGTGAACTTTCTTCCATATCAAAGTTACACACCTTTGCCTCCAGTTCTTCCCACACCTTTAGAGCGTCTGCAAACCTACAGCCCTCCTCCTAGCTGACTGTAGTCACATGACTTTTACCTTTCTGACCACTGGTTGTACCAGCAGTGTTCATCTGACCCCAAATCAGCCAATCATTTTCCTGCTCCTGGAAAATTGTACTTGGGTTTTATATTCAAGTCTGACCTCAGGAATTTATGGAGCAAAGTACACAGATAGATGTGTCAAATCAGAGAAAGCACATCTGCAGAAAGATTAAGAAATTGATGTCAGGCGCGATGGCTCAAGCCTGTAACCCCAGCTCTCTGGGAGATCAAGGCAGGTGGATCACCTGAGGTCAGGAGGAGTTCGAGACCAGCCTGGCCAACATGGTGAAACCCCATCTCTACTAAAAATACAAAAATTAGCTGGGTGTGGTGGCACATGCCGGTAATCCCAGCTACTCAGGAGGCCGAGGCAGGAGAATCGCTTGAACCCGGGAGGCAGAGGTTGCAGTGAGCTGAGATCATGCCACTAGACTCCAGCCTGGATGACAGAGCAAGACTCTGTCTCAAAAAAAAAAAAGAAAGAAAGAGGCCGGGCGCGGTGGCTCAAGCCTGTAATCCCAGCACTTTGGGAGGCCGAGATGGGCGGATCACGAGGTCAGGAGATCGAGACCATCCTGGCTAACACGGTGAAACCCCGTCTCTACTAAGAAATACAAAAAATAGCCGGGCGAGGTGGCAGCGCCTGTAGTCCCAGCTACTCGGGAGGCTGAGGCCGGAGAATGGCGTGAACCCGGGAGGCGGAGCTTGCAGTGAGCTGAGATCCGGCCACTGCACTCCAGCCTGGGCTACAGAGCGAGACTCCGTCTCAAAAAAAAAAAAAAAAAAAAAAAAAAGAAAGAAATTGAGATACTAAGGACAGAGTCAAAGATAAATGGACCATTTGAATTCTGACTCCTTTCTAGATTGCCTTTCCAGTTTCTCAGAAGCCTAGCAGTACTTACTCCTCCTGCTCTTGGGTTCTTTTGACTTTAAAAAAAAAAAAAAGGCCGGGCGTGGTGGCTCAAGCCTGTAATCCCAGCACTTTGGGAGGCCGAGACGGGCGGATCACGAGGTCAGGAGTTTGAGACCATCCTGGCTAACACGGTGAAACCCCGTCTCTACTAAAAAATACAAAAAACTAGCCGGGCGAGGTGGCGGGCGCCTGTAGTCCCGGCTACTCGGGAGGCTGAGGCAGGAGAATGGCGTAAAAACCCGGGAGGCAGAGCTTGCAGTGAGCTGAGATCCGGCCACTGCACTCCAGCCTGGGCGACACAGTGAGACTCCGTCTCAAAAAAAAAAAAAAAAGAATGAACTTGGGGCGGGGCCGTATCCAGCCTGGGGGGGGGCGTCAGGGAGGGGAGTCTCTAAAAAAAAAATAGCCGGGGGGGCGGGCGCACGGGCGGCAGGAGGGGGACCGGGGCGAGCTGCAGGAGCGGATCGGCCGCACCAGCTGGCACGTGAGACTCCGTCTCAAAAAAAAAAAAAAAAAAAAAAAAAGAAATTGAACTCTTAAGGATTAATGCTCTTGAGTTATGAGATATCCCTACTTTCCAATAAATCTCCCTTCCATTTTTATTGATTAAACTGGTTTGAGTAGTTTCTGTTCCTTTCCTCCAGAACAACCCACTGAGAACTTGGAAATAAGGCAAACTAGATTTCCCTCTAATAGCTAAATTGGCAATCTATGAGAATATTTATAAATAACGTTAATTGAAAAATTTTGGAGTGTGGTGGCTGACACTTGTAATCCTACTGCATTGAGAGTCTGAGGTGAGAGGACCATTTGAGGCCAGGAGTTAGAGACTAGTCTGGGCAACATAGTGAGACCCCCAACTCTACAAAAAAATTGCTTTTTTTTTTTTTTTTTTTGAGACGGAGTCTCGCTCTGTCACCAGGCTGAAGTACAGTGGTGTGATCTGGGCTCACTGCAACCTCTACCTCCCAGGTTCAAGCGATACTCTTGCCTCAACCTCCCAAGTAGCTGGGACTACAGGCGTCTGCCACCACGCCTGGCTCATTTTTTGTATTTTTAGTAGAGATGGGGTTTCACCATGTTGGTCAGGCTGGTCTCGAATTCCAGAGCTCGTGATCTGCCCGCCTTGGCCTCCCAAAGTGCTGGAATTACAGGCGTGAGCCACCACACTTGGCCAAAAAAATTTTTTTTTAATTAGCCAGGTGTGGTGATGCATGCTTGTAGTCCTAGCTATCTGGGAAGCTGAGGAAAGAGGATTGCTTGAGCCCAGGAGTTCAAGGCTACAGTGAGCTATGATTGCACCTTGCACCACTGCACTCCAGTCTGGGTGAAAGAGTGAAACTTTGTCTCAAAAAAAAAAAAAATATATATATATATATATTATATATACACACATACACACACATATACATATATATGTGTGTATATATAAGGTGATATGTATCAAGTGATCTAATCTGCTCCTTACTAATTCGACTCCCCTAGTATGCTTACAAAATGAGAGTCCTCGAATAGCAGACTTGCATTGTAAATAAATGATCATCTTTCTACAAGTATATTTCCCCAAGGTTCAACCGAATATAGTTTG